TTTAGGGGTTAGATATGTGAATATAAAACTACAAAATGGTCTGCCTAATTGAAAATTATAATTTGTTTTGTTTCTGATTTACTTGGGCTAGATTTGAGTTTTCCTACATATTATTAAATATTTGACTTCTGGTTAAGCTTGATTTTACCTTCCCTTTATTAGTGTTATATGATTGAAAAATAGTTAAATTTGTACCAATGTGGAATGCAGGGGTGAGATTGTTGACATCAGCCTCTCATCAAGTTCTACAATTGGCCTGTCGTAGCTTTATGCAGCCTGAATTTCTGAATTTCTGCAGGTTACTCTAAATCCTTGTACTATATCTCTATAAAATCTTGTGCAAAGTGGAAGATTAGAATATGAGTTAGAATAACATGTGCATCTTCTGTGGTATCATTGATTTATCTCATCTTGCTGGAAGTAAAAGCAGAGAAGGGAAGTTCTAAAGCTGCAGAACCGGCGCTTCTCATGGAAGAAAAATTTCTGAACGAGGAAAATACTGGAGTTGGTGGCGCCTTAATTCTTTAGTGGTGCTCATATTGTGGAAAAGATATTGCGTCCGGAGGACGTGATACAGCGGGGCGGAATGGGAGCTCGGACCTTCGTTGTATCACGTCCGGAGTCCGGACGTAGACGAAGCTCGCTTCCGGACTCTGGACGCAATATTTTCTCAATTAGAGGTGACATCTTAGAAGAAGAGAGTTTTCACTTTTAAATTTAGCATTTGTCTGTGTTTGATTTGTAGTAATTTGTGGAGAGGAAATGATGAAGTATTTGTGTTTATATTAGTTTTAATTCCTTGGTTGAAGGAACTATATATATATATATATATGCATGCATGCATGCATGACATATCATGAAAAATAAAAATGCTTTGATTTTAATATTTTCGGACGATGAAACTGATATCGCATGAGAATAAGGGGCAACTGATACACCATTAACAAAAATCCATTATCCAACATGAATCTCGAGGCATGCCACAGATTTTGAGATGGCTTTTTGAACAAGAAATATTTAAACCTTGATAAAAAATCATCCAGAACTTTGATTTCAACAAACTTATAGTCAAACTGACCGGCTCGACAAGAAGAACCCAATTGTTGGCATTAATTTTTGATATCACAAGTATAAGGTTTCCACCTGCACGGGTCAAGATGATTTACGGTTCATCTGTAGCATCTAGTAGCTCAAGACACCCACTCGAGATCTTCTGACACTTGTTCGGGGCAAGTAGCTAGGTTTGGTGGTGATTTAGCCCTACTCGAAAAAATTCCCTCTAGGAGGCCTATCCGGGATATGAGGTGTGGTCGGTGCCAAATTTGATGATTAGAAGTCACCACACGTTTATTCGGAACCTTCCACAGCCATAGGAAGTCATGGAGTCCACCTACGTGCGTTACGAGAAAATTAGGGTTCAAGACACCCTACCGGCGCCATGGTTCAGAACGACTATTGGCAACGATTTATTTGGTAAATGGCTGATGTGAATACTTCATTTTGAAGTTATGAGACTATATTTCACTAACAAAGAGTCTCCCATAGCTTTCGGATCAAAAAAATCTTCCGTCGGACGCTCTCGATGAAAATCAAGGTTTCGGGCTAGACCGGCGCCCTCGGCGTCGTACCCAGATAGCTAAGCGCCCAAAGCACCGTTTCGGATCATCTAGCACAAGCCTCCAGAGGTCTAGAACTTGATTTTGGCACTTGGACATTTTTTTTGTGCGCTTATGCACCCAAAATAGCCCAAAATAGGCTAGAAACCGTCATATAACGTTTGAAGTTGTGGTGGTTCAAACTTATTATAATAATCAATATAAATGACGTTTCAACACAAACATGAATTATAAGGAAAAACTAACAGATTTGTAGCACGCTTCCTAACTATGTTATCTATTAATAAGTTAAGACACTGAACTCAAGTTTCCAATTAAATAATAGGATGAAAAAAATAGCTCAAAAATAGTAACAAGTTAATACACATTTTCTAATGAAACCCATCGGCTTGTTTGTTAGATATATTGTGAATATTGGATACGGCTCCTAATTATATGGACATGCTTTGTGAGGTATAGCCTTAACAAAGTTAATCAAACAAAATGCAAAAGAGGGAATAAGCACATATTATAATAATAGCAAATAATATAAAATAAAATAATTGAACTTAATCAAAACTGAAAAACAAACATACTACCCATTATAAAATTTAAAAATAAAGATAAAAATGAACTTAAAAAAGAAATGCAATGATAATTCAACTAAATCATTGATTATGCTTCAATTATGTTTTAATTGGGAATGATTAGTCGGCCCTTTGGTTAATTTAGACTCTATTTCTATAAAATTAAGTATAATGAAGTTAGTTAAGGAGCAATGCAATTGACATCAAGAATTAATTTTTAAATTTAAGCTTAATCAAATACAAACAGACTGCCCGAAACTTACTATTTACTAATCAACCATCCTCTTTCAACCCCAACCTATATTTTTAGTTCTTATCAAATTCTCAATAATTTGAGGAATAAATACGTAAATCACTCAGGGCACGAAGTTGTAAATATCAATATTTTGAGGGGTGCTTATGTAATTATCTATTTTCTTAATTATATTTATTAGATGCATCTTAGTTTGAAAAACAGACCTCTGCGCATCTCCCGCGACGGTTGGATACGTGGTGATAGTGGGGGCACCTTCTCTCGCTCGCGAACAATTCGCCGAAGGTTCTCCCTCCCCATTCCACTGCCGAAATGCAGAGCGGCGGCGGTATTCCGGCGATGGCCGCCCTTAGAAAAGGACCTTGGTTGGCCGAAGAAGACGAAATCCTCCGAGAATACGTCAAAAATAACGGCCCTGGCGACTGGAGCTCCATTCGATCCAAAGGTCTTCTTCCCCGAACAGGCAAATCCTGTCGTCTCCGCTGGGTCAACAAACTTAAACCCCACTTGAAATCGTAAGAAAGTTCAGATTTTTAATCTATTCATCACTATTATCTTCCTCAATTGACTGTTTGTTCTGAATTGTTGATGTTGCTGCAATCGCATTTTGCGGGAGAAGTGGATGTAAGTTCTCTCCGGAGGAGGAGCGCGTGGTGATTGATTTGCAGGCGACGTTTGGGAACAAATGGGCGCGAATTGCAACTTATCTTCCCGGTAGAACAGATAACGACGTCAAGAACTTTTGGAGCACTCGCCAGAAGAGATTGGCAAGACTGCTGCAGACTCCACTCCCGGTTAAATCACAAAAAAGACAAGAAAGGACCCCATTACCTCCAGAAATGCCTAATTTTGAGGTAATTCGATGTGTAATTCTTGTGCATTTGAGCATTAAACGATTTTAAGATGCCGCAAATTAAGTCATTTCTGTAATTCACTTGTGCAGCCAAATGTGAATTCCGGTGTTCTTCTCTATAATCCTCCCTGTTCAGACTTCATTCCATTCACAGAACAATATTCAAATATTGAGTGCAGCCCTGAACAGATGATCAACCTGGATCCAACTACACCCCACCTAGAACCAGCCATTATCAACAGCGAGCTCTGTGTACAGAGCAGCAGCGCACCTCAGTCGCCATTCAACCACCCCTTACTTGATCTCCCTCCACTTCCAGAGGGCCAGGATCTCATCCCGGAGTTTGATGATATGAGTTTCCTTGACCAGTTTGATTGTGAAGAAAGCTCCCAAGCCTTGCAGCTTACCGCGCAGCCGACATTCTTTGACATGGATGTTGGTTGTCCAGACATAAAAATGGATATTCCAGGGACACCTGAAAGCATCTTTGGGGACTTTCCAGCCGACATGTTTGACTGATTGAATAAGCCACCAGCTTCATAGAGGTGTCCCTGGTTTAAGGCTAGATCTGTAGTGTTTAGAGCAATTGTGGATATATAGCATTTCACTTAGCATTGTTGTAGAAGTGTTCATTTCTATTACTGTATTCTCTTTTATTAGATATATATAGTGAACCTGTAGGTTTCTTTTTTTGTTGTTAAAAATGTTGGATGAAAAATTTAAACCTTTTTATTGTGTCTAGAGAATGACTTAGATGTTGTCTTTTGTCAAAAACAGTTAATTTGTTTATTTCTGCCCTTAGTAAATTTGTTTTTTCAGTATGTTTGATGTCAGCTTTAATTCAATTAATGGACATCAAACTTGCTCGGTTGCTCTGCAGGATAATGCTGTGTACTGTTTCACGTAACTATGATGCTTTATCCTGCATGTTTGGGTGCATGGGATTTTTACAAAAAAAATCTTTTTATTTTATGTGTGGCTTGGTTTCCATTTTCTATGTTGGAAAAACTTGACTTTGATTTTGGGGGATTAGGATCAAGGATGAAGATAAAGATTCCATCAATCAAGATCCCATTAGTTGGATTTTTCGTTGGGTATGGAATATTAAGTTATACAGAATTGTTGTTTCCGAGTTCATCTAAGTAAGCTCTTATAGGGAATTGCATGAAAGGTAATTGTTTAGTTGTATTTCATTCATTTTATTTTATTATTATTTTTTTTTTACAGTAGATAATGGGTCATCTTTATGTTGTTGTTGGGTTGATGCTGAGAGAGCAAAAATGTTGTTTCGATTAGATGAAATTTCATGCTATCCATTCTTCCAATGTGGTGTCAGTTCAGTGAAAGATAGTTAAAGACATCATGAAACAATTGGTTGTAAGTTGGACAAACCTCTAAGAAAGCACCAAGAGATTATTTGCTAATGTTTTTTTAGTGATTAGGCTAATGATGATGAAGATGCTGATGCTGATGACAGATTTTGTATTTTGTTATCCTATTTGCAGTTGGTTATCTTGTTTCAATTTCTTCAAATACTGAAATGAACATAGGATCTGTTTTTAGCGTTTAGTAGCTGATTATTGGAATTGCCATTTTTAGTGATCATTGTCGCGGGGACTATACATTAATATCAAAGGCACAGTTTTACAAATTAATATGCTTTTCAATATGTGTTTTAGAGAATAACTATAGTTCATTACAGTTCAACTGCAGTTGTTAGTGGATAGTTGCAGTGATACTGATATTAATGGATGAGCCAACTTTCCTAGTTAGGAGAAGGTATCCATGCCTGTTGAAGTGCCTAAGTATGGGGTAATTTGGTTTGCTGCAAAGTTTATGCTCCATGTGGTAGAGTTTCGAATATAGTGCCAATTTGTTTACTTTGTAACAAAATTATTCCTGTAGGTTATTTGTTATTTTGCATGAAAATAGATTATTTTTGTTTGGTTTGACCTTAAAATGATGATTTAAAACCCGAAAAAAATTTGTTTAGTTGCCAAATCCTAGTCTTGGCCACTTGAACTGTTAGTTTGACGACAACACTTAACGTTAATAATCCAAAATATACGAATGCAGTCTTTAAGAAATAGTATTGATACCGAAATTAGTCTAATTTTATTATCCAGAACTCCAATTTCAACAAACATAAAGTCAAACTGACTGGTTCAACGAGACAAACACAATGACATCAAAATTGATTTAATTTGAGTTAAATCAAGGCTGAATCAAGTCATTAAACCAAATTTGGAAGATTTGAACGACTAATTGAAAGGTCACAGGGGTTTCAAACCTGATGAGCTTATATTCAAATTAAGCGTCTCGAGAAGATGAATCTAACAAGCTTAAGATTACTCAATTCTAACATTGTCAAGACACTTCAATGACCACCGAACACAGTATGATCACAAATCTCTCTAGGTCATCCGATAGAGTAGTTCAAATTCCTTCCTTATTTGTAAGGAGGTCTCTCCCAGACTCTCTAAATAAAGTCCTACCCCCTTAATGAAGTTTAACTGCGGAGGTTATTTCTAGGTTATTTTGGGGTTATTCAAGTGGAATATATCATTTCTCTTCAATAACCCCGAAATAACCCCAAAATAACATCTGCGGAGTTATTTCAGAGTTATTGAAGTAGAACTGCGGAGGTTATTTCTGAGTTATTTAGGGTTTATTGCGGAGTCCACGGTTCCACTTTAATATTTTTTTTAGGTGAGCCCGATATAGCACACATGGCGGTACATTATTGGGAGTCCACACGTAGAGCTACGTTCGGAGTTCGAATAGAAATTTTTTTTGTAAGGGTGTGATCTTTTGTGCTTTGAAAGCCCTTTTACTATCAATTAATGAGATTTCACTTATATGCAGAAATGCTGATTCATAGATGTAAGCAAGTGGGTCTTTTGTGATTTGAAATCATTTGGAAGGTGTGCCAATAGTTGGTTGTGATCTCTTCTAGTGTAGGAAAACAACGTCGATAAACTTGTTGCATCGAGTTCTCCTACACTTTTCTATGAATTGAGCAAGAATTCAATCCAAACAATCCCTCTCACGAAGGTACGTGTCAGACAAACTCTTACATGTTCAAATTATTTATCTAAGAAGCTTGCATACTTCACATTCTCACTCGTTTGCATGTTTCATTGCGAGATATGTCAATGCGTGGACTGGACACCGATAGCTCAAAGCAAGCGGCGAGGACGTCCTCAACCTCCATAGTGCTGAGAATCTTAAAACCCTTTACATTTTCTTTCCTAGCTGGCTTTAGGCTAGGCGTTGTGGGTTTGGTCGCCCACATGGGGGTGAGTGAGCAAGCCGATGTTAGTCGGCATGACCACACTCGTTTGGATCGACCGACCACACTCTCTTTGATTGACTGTTGATTTCTTAGAGGTAACCTTAGGTTAGGAAGCTTTCGTTGGACACTCCTAGCGAATTTGAGGGTTTTACTTGCAATCTTTAGATACATACCTAAGCGGATCAGAATCCCAAATTTATCACGGCTTTGACGGTTCTAATATTTTTTGGAGGGATTGGGAGAGTTTGATCTTGAAAGATGGGAAAAGCTCTGTAGCTAGCCTATCCTGCAAGATCATGGAAGTTTGTAGGACAGAAAAATCTTTTTAGCTAGTCTGCCCTATAAATGGTGAAGGACTTCACCTACGAGAAAATCAGAGGTTGAAGTCCTTCACATTTCAACGCCAAAGTCAGAGGTGGTTATGCCATGGATCTAAGAGCTAATAAGGCCGAGTTTAATGTGTTGTCAAGCGTTTTGGGTTTCACTGCATATGTGTGGTCGCTCGTGGCATTTTTGTATGATGATCATGTCACATATTGTGTGTGTGTTTGAGTGAGCACTTTGGGTTTGATTAGCTGTCTCGGGCAGATCACCCGATCCGTTGGGTTCGATCGACTGCAACGTGTCGATCACCCACTTTTGGTTTGATCAGCTGTCCCGGGCCGGTCATTCGTTCACCTGTTTTGGGTTCAATCGGCCATCCTGGGCCGATCGCCTGATACGTTTGGATTTGATTAATCTTTGTGTGTTGATCACCCGCTTTGAGTTTGATTGACCATTTTGAGCCGATCACTCGATCTATTGGTTTTGATCGATTACAGCGTGTCAAACACCCGCTTTAGGTTCGATTGGTCATCCTAGATCGATCGCTCGATTCATTGGGTTTGATCTACCGCTACGTGTCGACCACTCAATTTGGTTTCGATTGACCATCCATGACCGATCACTCGATTCTTTGGGTTTGATTGACTACTACGTGACGAGCACTCACTTTCGGTTCAATTGACTGTCCCAGGTCAATCACCCAATCCCTTAGTTCCATCGATTGTTATGTGTTGATTGCTCGCCTTGGGCCTGATCGGTTGTCCCAGGCTAATCACCCACTCTTTTTGGTCCTATTGACCATCCCAGATCTTTCTACCCGCCTCGTCGGTTTCTACTGGCCGCCACTGCCATGTTGACCGATCACTTGCATGCTCGTGTTCGTTTATTGCATGTTGTATGTTTCTTTGCATATGTATGAAAAATCTTTTGACTTGATGTCTATGATTTGTTTCATCGTGTGTAAAGTGTTTTTGCCTTTTATTCTTTGCATTTCGCATGTTATGGTGTTTATTTGAGCACCCCCACTTGTAGGTGTCTTCCCCACATACTACGTTGTATGCATGAGGATGAACACTTGCACACTTTTGAGGAGTTGTCTCACTTGTAGGCCATTGACCGACCTTTTTCTTTTTGTAAATCGACAATTACAAGAATTTGATGATGCTACTAGAAGATTTAAATTCCGGCAATGGTGTCAAAATCTTGACTGCAACTTTATATATATGTGTTTGATTTAATAAAGATGTATAAATATAATATTCACAAATGTAAAAGTCGAATTGGTCAACGCAAGTATACGTATCGCTCAAGTAATATAAAGTTCTAATGGAGTCCTAGTTATCGATCCCACAGGGAGAAATAGAATACTACGAACTAAGGCTTAATAAAAAGTAATACTTCAACTGCAACGACGGCGTTCAATTTGCTTATCTGTCACTAATAGGCAATTGAAATAAGTAGATAATTTGGATAACTAATAAATAACTAATAATCTAAAGTAGGGTTTAATTTGTGATATTCAATATATAAGAAAGCATCATTCTCCTTGTCAAGAAATTATAGTGAATGGATAAAATGAATTAAAAATGAATTAGTTC